TACATCCAAATATTGGCAAAAGGCTATTTTTGGCCACTGGTGTTACTGCTTCAGTTTGGTTATTTAATTAAGAATGTTCTCTCTTTGTCCAATGTCACCTATTCTAAAGCCGTCTGCAGGATACAAGACTGCCTGAACTATGAAACACTAGGAAAACTGGTTGCCATTGAACGTGTAATATGTGAATGTATACTAAGAAAAATGCAGGGGTTTTTTTATTCACTATAGAGTAGTGCCCTTAATTAAATAGGATTTCCTGAAAAAATCCTACTACAAAAAAATGAACTGAGTATTAAACTTATTTGAAAGTTAGCAGCTCTGAAGCTCTTTTAACAGATAAGTAAAAGATCTAATAAAGTAAGAATGCAACCCAGAAGAAAAGTATGTTTCAGAAAATTATGTTCAAATAAGCTATGTAATAATTATATTTAAACAAACTGGTTATTTTGGATGGCACCACTACCTACATTTTTAAATCTCTTGCGTTTACCACATTACTCTAGCATGATTAATTCTACAAACAGGGCAGACAACTGGTGCTAATGGTAGCTCCTTTTAATAAGTCAAGTCTTCTTTCAGAAAAAGAAAGACAGGAGTTGAGGGCAGAATCCATGGTATCTTTAGATGTTTAACCGACAGGACCAAAGTGCATCTGAAAAATCACTTTTCACTTTACATAGTCTGTAGTATAAAGGAGATTTAAGATTACAGAAGATCAAGGAATATCTGTCTCAATTCCGGTACCATGATTCTCCTTACTAAATATATAACTTTTAATTAAGTGCCTAAAGATGTATCTTCACCTTTTACAAATTGCTCTCACTCACAACGGCAGTTCAATTCTCTGTGAGTACAACCTCAAGAGGTCTGTCCTAATTTGTATGTCTTGATGTCAGGTAGCCATGATCAGGAACACTTCCCTACAAAAACAAGTATTTAAAGGTGCAGGGTCCAAAGAAAAAGGTCTAGAGAGGATCCTAACCCAACAATGGCATTCCCAAGGCACTTAGAAGTGTTCTCAAAAGTGATACCTAGGTTTCTGAATGTTCCTCCTATATATTCAAAACTGGATTGTAGCACACTGGGCTGCTCATTGATTATATAGTTTTATAGCCAGTTTATGCTTACTCTGTTTTGTCATTCATATGCCATGAATTTTGTTCATACTAGGTGTTCTCTGTAGGGGTTTTCCTCACATGAAAGAGAGTCTGTTTCTCTCCCCCCCCCCCAGGAATGGAAAGCCCCACTCTCATGACCTTCAGAAAGTAATAAAGACTTGGCTCTTCTAGAAGGTTTAGTAATTAAATGCTGTATTTCTGGTACGCTTTGGCTTTATATGCCTCTTGCATACTGTCTTTTAAAGGTCAATTTAAAACATACATCACACTATTTTCTTTTAGAGTAAACAGTGTTTATTCACTCACTCCATTCATTCTTCCTTCATATATCTATTTTGCAATTTAATTCTCACTCTGAATGATCAAACCACCACAGGATATTTTTTTCATACTAGTCCCTCATATTTGCATTCAATGCACAATCCTTTGGCACCCATTCATTCTTGATCGTATCTCTTCATCTTTTACTACATGTGCTCCTTTAGTATCCTATTCCCATTACTGTGAATTTTCTTCTATATTTCTAGTGCCATACTCAACTTTCACTTCTGTATAACAAAGTAGGGAGAAACAGGCATTTATGAACAAACATAAACAAACATCTTTTGACAAACATTATTGTCATTATTTCTCATGACAGGCCATATTGTAACTGTCAGCATTTCTAAGTCTTAAAATTTCTCCATCCATTTTTTTCATTTTTAATAAACATTATAATAAACATTCTACTGAAGTACTTAAGGTATAAGTATTATCTGCGTCTTTTGGTATTTATGTATTATTCACTTAATTTTCTGCTTCCTAGGTTTTTGATATATTGATTTTCAGATTCATACACCTTGTTACATCAAACAATCTATCTAACATTTGCTACTGATTTGGGGAATGCTTAGCCAATAGTACAACTTCTGCATACCTTTTCAACTACCACCTTTCTAATGCAACTCTACCCGTTCTTAGTACATTTATTCATAAATGTATTAACAATCAAGAATTATCCTCCCTGCTCAGTGTTAAACCATTCACTAAACATTCCATTTACAGGTATTTAACATTTAGCAACCACAACTGGGATCAGCAACTCAGTTGTTAAGTGAACTGGTCACAAAGTGAAACAGTGGCCCTGCTCACAATCTTATTTCAGCTTCCTTTTGCTTTATAGACCTACAAAAAGCGTAAATGCAAGGATTGGTGGCAAAGTTATTTTTTCATCTCCATTGTAACTGTGCATGGTTGCTGTACAGGCAGTCACTAAATGAGGACTATTTGTTTTTTCATACACGCTATACTTCTGTCTGCTCTTCGCACATTCAACTTAATACTTTCACAAAATACTCCATTCTTTGAACCTGTTAAGTTTATCCTAAAATGCTTTTCTAACGCAACAAACTCACAATGTACTTTCTTTCTCACCTTTATATATGTTTCTCAAAGACTTTCTGAAGAGTAAAAATCTGATATGTACACCTTGTACCTGTACAAAGTTGAACTCTCCTTCCCAAATTTTATTCACTGAATCCCCTTGTAGCCCCTGTGCTTTTTTGCTTGTGAATTGAGATAAAATAATTCTGCTGTTCCACTTCTCAAAGGAAAAAAGAAAATTGCACAAGCCTGACAATCCCCCAATGGCTCAGAGTATGCTTGTTACTTGACTGAGAACAGGATGCCCAATCTTTTGAGGACAGGAGAGCACATTTGGTTTTTGAGTAATATGTTCCCCAAAGTAGGCAGCTGGAATCAGGACACAAATTAACAGTGTGGTGTCTGTTCTTAAAATGACAGCAATTACAATTCTTAGTCAAGGTGACTTCCCTTGTATTTGATTATATTTTTTTACTGTATGTCTTTCAGGGGCTGCATTTGGCTCTAAGGCTTCAGTAGTAGGAAAATCAAGGCATTCATCTAGGAGGACTTTAGGTAATAAACAACACAGTAACAGGTCTAATATGCTCCTTTCAGAGTTTGTGGTCCTGGCCTAGCAAAGCCCCCAAATGATTAAAAACATATTTCTGAATATTCAGTTACCATTTGAGCACTAAGCAAGCAGTGGCATACATACAAAGTAGAATAAATTGCAGATTTATTCTAGTTCAACTGTAAAGCACTCTACAAGATCAATATGACACAAGGCAGGAAATTTTCTTTGCAATATTGCATTAAGCACTTTGCTAACACATTTCAACACGATGCTGTCTGACAGTGCATTGATGATCAGCATCAATTTCTCTATGAGCCCATATGCAGCCGGAGATACCATCATCATTTAGAGTCTCCATTTCACTCTCCAGATCCTGGGAGTTAACTTAAAATAGTTATCATCTCCACAAGATAAAACATAGATGAATTATATATATAAGCAATATTTCAAACACATATATATATTACTTCTATTGTTTGTTCATATTTGGAGTAAAATAAACATTATATACTAAAGTTGGAGCTAAGAGACACTGCAGATGGATGATTATGCTTCAAACAGAAGAATTTTACTAAACAAACACACACACACACACACACACACACACACACACAGAGAGAGAGAGAGAGAGAGAAAGGCCTTTCAGTTTTTCAAATAACAACCGCCAACACCATTCTATGTGTGCCATGTATGTGTGTCACGTTTGTCCATTATATGGTTTCCTAACAACCCAATTTTCTCTGTTGACATGGTACCCTAGACATAACATCACCATATCAACTGGGTTCACACATAATCTAGAATGTGCTATATAGTATATCATGGTGTAGTATATCATGTGCTATAGTACTGTATATCATGTAAAAACAGCCCATTTGGTCCTGGACCTGGATAAGGCAGAGTCAATTTGCCATTGGTCCAGAAACATACTCATTTATGCAGCCATGAAACATTGGGTCCCTCCATAGATTACAGAGCAGAAAGATGATCAAATAGTTTGCCACTCCTTTACAAGATGGTGGAGGCATGATTAAGCCATGGAGATTCTTTGAAAATTACCATACAGTCTGGGGAGAAAAATCCAGGGTGAAAGAATGCAATGATTCTGCAGATCAGGGCAAAGGTAGATTAGTACAAAGGAAACATGCAGCATTAAATGATAAAGTAGGTCAGAGGACAGGCTAATATATTTCCCATCAACTACCCCCTACAATATGGGGATTAGAGGCAAAAGATTATGGGAATTGTAGCCCAATTCATCTATAAAGCATCAGGTTGGAAGAAAGCTAAAGTAGGGCTAATCTGTTCTAGCTCATCTTCTTTTCCCTGATACAGATAAAAATATGGACTATTGAATGTAAAATCAAAGGAGGTGAGCTCCAATCCAAAGACTGGATCCAACAGATCTTTAACCTGGCTCTCCTCCCAGAACATCTCTTGGGTAGATGCATTCATTTAAGCAGCAAAGTTTTCATCTTATCAGTGAAGAGGTTGACTAATTGCTTTGTAGAGAGTGGTATGGAGAGAGTGGTATGGAGAAAAGATATGGGAGCCAACATAACAGTTCTTTCAGTGTGAAAAGAAGAATTCTGAAAAAGGTGTGTTGCTTATGCAGCATCTACCAAATTATCAGCTGACCCAGGTGACCTCAAGCCAAACGTAATCTGGTACTGAGTCACAACAGAGATATGCCTATTATCTAAATCCAATGTAATTTGCTCCCTAAGATCTACATATAACATCTACCATATGCTGTTTTCTTCCTTCTCTGAAGAACCACAATAACCTACAACTGTATTGGGCAATACAGCATTTTCCCCTTCCATTGCTTGTAGAGCTCAGCTATTTTTAAAGGCCCACCACACAAACACAAAATATGTGTAGGGTCTCATCATCCCTCTGCTTGCTGTGCCAACCACACATGTCCCAATCCATCCCTCCTCCAGAATGCTGGGAACTCCTACCTTGATATAAGGTCCCAGTTACAAACTGGTAGAAGAAACGGATCGCCCGCCCCAGCTGCTTCTTGCACCGTTGCTGGCAATGAGCCATGGCACTAGCAATACAGTGGCAGGGGGACACACCTGGCTGTGGACCCGCAGGCTCTCAGGAACAGGTGAAACTTAGTAGAACTCGGAGAGAAGAGCGTCTTCTGCTCTTGGCTATTACACAGCCAGTATTCAGGCAAGAAAAGTCAGAGCCACCACTGAAGAGAGAGAGCTCTGATCTCAGACATGAAAGTTTGGACTGGATTGAAAAGATCCAGCTGAGATTGGTGGCTGTTGAAGGCTTCGGGGACGCTAGAAGAGCAAAGATGACCAGCCAACAGACACGCCCAGGGCCAAAGCTGGGGTGACCTCCCACCAAGGCGAGAAGATCGCAGCGTACCCCAATACTTGGGCGAAGGCAAGGACTGGCAGCGGCCGCCGTTTCAACCCAGAGTTGCTCGACGATCCTTCCCCGGACGCTCAGTTGAGCAGGAATTTCCAGCAAAGTTGCAACGAAGAGCGGACGGCGGAGTTGGAGTCGCCAACCACGCAGCGGTCAATCGGCTGTCCCGGTTCCTCGAAGAGGGCAGCAGCCAGCTGTTCCCCATTCCAGGCGGATGCCTTTTCGGATCCTCGGTTGCTTTGCCTGGCGTGACATCTTTCTCCGCCACACCCAGTTCTCCACAAGACAGCTGCCAGGAAATCAGAGGCAGTGCTAGGTTGGCATGGCAATGGTCTGACTCCACAGGTCCTACTGACCAATGGGGTGCTGCCTCCCCCTCCTCCTCCCGGCTCTTCTACTGGAGCCTCCCAGGACGTTCATTCCGAAGCACTAAACTGCTCTGGGCAACAATGGGGCGAGTGCAAAGTGACTTCTCCAACTCTCCGTGTAAGCAGAGGAGAAGCCACAGATGGCGAAGACAAAACGCCTGCGGGAGGCATTGGCGAATGATCAAAGCGCTCTGTGCCTGAAAAAAAGATCCAACATCACACGAAATTTGCACTGGCAACATTTGAAGGAGCGGCCGGCACACCCGGAGCTCTGCTCCCTGAGCTGGAATAATTTAGAGAAGTCTGCATTTTTTAAAAAGGAGGAAAGAAGAGTTGAGGAACTTGCGCGAATGGTTTCTGAAAATAATGTGTAAGAAAGGGATTTGGTCTGGGCACGAAAGAGACAGGACTGCAGGAATCAGAAACGAGGAGTTGGCTAAAACATGATTTTCCTGCTCAGATGCAGCTTACTTTTTGATATTAACAAGAAATCCAGAAAACTCCATTAATCTGGATTAACGTAAACTCTTAAATGCTCTATATCTCTTGGGGACTACATGGAGGAAGTGTCTTGCTGCTACCTTTCAGAATATATTTCTGACTTTCCAGTCTAGCCCCCCAGCCCTGAAATTTCCCTCAAAGTCTTAACCAGGTTCAGTGTTCAGCTTTTTAAAGATCAGCCAAAATCGGATGGTGCTACCAACTTGTGGTTTTACTGATATTATTTAACATATACAGTAGGTTGGGTTCACATGGAACGTTAACATGTACAAAGATGTAAAGCCAAACTCACATTATGGCTTAATATTATTATCTGTTGCCCAGGCCACTTTGTAAAGTACACGAACCCATCATTTTTAAAATCCTAGTTTAGCACTGTATATGAACTCAGCCAAAGACATCTAGATAGTTTTTTAAAAAGTAGATAAATTCTAAATATTATAATTTAGCACAATGATAAGAGCAAAGTATTGTGACTCCTGCTGATCTATATAAAAATATTTCTTGCCTTGGGGGATTTATGTCTATAAAGGATTTGTTTCAAAAAATAAAGCATGCAATTTTTCTTTGAATATGCTACACAGAGGAGCTGAAATGATCACTTAACTTTCTATATCCAACAAGCGCTCAGCAGAATCTCAACATTCCTGTCTAAAGAAGCTAATTAAGAAAGCGATGGAGAAAAAGGACATCTAGTGGAAACTGATGGAACTGCTACTCCTTTTTTCATAAGTGGTTGTTTCCTTGAGTTACAATTACAGGATTCAAGCTTAGCAACATTTCAAAGGTTCTGCTCAGTCACTCATGCCTTAGTCAACCCCCTGCTTGAATTACTGCAATGCAATGCACTCTACATGGGGCTGCCTTGAAGAATACTTGGAAGCTTCACTTAGTACAAAATATGGCAGCTCAGGAAATTATGGGCGCCTATTGTTTGGCACATATGAGACCTCTGCTCCATCAGCTCTACTGGCTGCCAGTCTGCTTCCAGGTGTAATACACAATGCCGGTGGTTACTTTTAAAGCCTGTTATGGAGCTGGGTTACTTACAGGACAATCTCTCTCTCCATTCTATTAGATCTGGCAGAAGAGGCCTGCTTCAGATCCTCTCCATACAGGGATGTCATTTGGCAGGACCCAAGAAGAGAGCTTTTTCAGTTGTGACACTCACCCTCTGGACCCTCATACACCCATAGATCAAATTAGCTCCAATCCTGCTGATTTATTGCAAGTTATTTAAGACTTGGTTTTGCTATTTATGGCATGACAAGGTTAAAGTAAATATTGATTTTAATAACCATTTTGTTAGATGTGACTTCCTAAGAGTCTGGAATAAATATAAAACAAGTGTTGTGGTTCCGACAGATGAAACTTGCTGTGAAGATGCCACTTTGGGGTGTCCCCGCCCGGAAGCTTTTTTTTTTTTTAGAAAAGAAATGGTGGCAAAATCAGACTGATGGACTTATGGTGAATTAATATCTTTTAATTTTGGTGATCCTATCCTCAAATCTAAAGAGCAGTTAGAATCGGAAGGACGTATCTGCCATTGGTTTACATATTTACAATTGAAAGAAAGATATAAATCAGACAAAAAGAGTTATGGGTTTGACTTGTGAAAAATGAATTGGAAATCCTACTGCATGACAGTGATGAACATATTATTGCTAAGGTCTATAAATTGTTACTGAATTTGAATTTGGGGAATGAATATGTAAAGTATTGCATAATTCAGTGGGCAAGGAATTTGGGTATAATGTAATGATTGAACAATGGGAAAACATATGGATGAAAGGGCTAAAATTTACACTACATTATAATTTAAAAGAACGCTTTTATAAGATGTTGTATTGCTAGTATTTAACGCCAGATGATTTGTCAAGAATACATAAAGGTATTTTAAATGAATGTAGGCAATGCAAATGTAAAAGGACCTTTTATAGTGGGCATATGACAAAGTAAAAAAATATTGAAGTAGGATTCACATCTTTTTTAACAATAGTTTTATTGGTTTATCAAAATATAAATTACAAAAAGAAATTCAAAAAGTAATAGAAAACTAAGAGGAAGGGGAGGGAAGAGAAAAAGAATGGTGTAAAGAGGGAAAAGAAAAGAAAAAGGCACCAATGTCCAACTCTCTTTAGCACAGTAGAAGATAACATTAAAAATGCAACTTTATACTTTTACACAACAGTATGTACAAGCCATTTCTATAATAATAAACCTATCTAATTAGCAAAAACAAAATCAAAATTTCATTTTTTTTATTGCAAGTACAAAATCCAGAAGCAATATCAAAATAGAAACAAGGTTAGTTATCCTTGGATAAAAGAATCAATTTGACCATCTCTGCTTCTCTTTGTTGTGGGGAATTATAGAACAGTAGAGAACCTGGGTACAACAGCAGTTGTACAAACAAAGTTCTGGAAAGGGTGTTTTTGGGCTGGGGTCCTGAAAAGAACTGAACTAGCCCTAATCAGAAACGAACTCCACAGGAAAAGATTCCTACTAGATCAAACCAATAGGGACCTACTCACTCTTCACCTCAAACTCAGCAACAAAATCCACCCAGCACTCTGGGACAAATCCAAACAACTAGCCCTCTGGAGAGCCGAAACAGAAACCTCCCACAAGACAGACACCCACACCAACAAACTCCACAGACTAGAAAAACGCCAAAAGCCCAACCCCCCTCCACAGCAACTCATGAAACGAACAGTACACAACATATCAGACACGACCCTCACCATAGCAGAAACCAATGTCCTTTCCAAAGGATTCAACTTTGCAGTCGCCCCCAAACGCATCTCCACTGAAAACATCATATGCGGAGTTGAAGCTACCTGTTATGTCCTGAGCCTGTGCAAGCAGGCTCGGGGCATTGCGGACGGTCCCGGGCAGGTGCAAGCTGCCCGGGACCAGACAGGCTGTCGCCAGTACATATGCGCATGCGTGGGTGCTGGCGCGCCAAAAGTAACAGATTGACCCGGGAAAGGCCTATAAAAGGAGGCCGAGAGTTTTGGGCATTGCCGCCATATTCCAATGTAAGCTGAACTGAAGAATAAAGGTTTCCTGAGAACTACAACTGCTTCTCGTGTCTTACCATTTCGCGACGGACTCAACACTACCCTAATCAAAATCAACCCAGATGAAGCCAATAAAATCAGACTTGAAGTCACCAACGTCCTCCTCTCCAGCAATCCACCTAGAAGCAACATACATAAAGAAGAACAAAAAGCACTCACCAACCTGAGGAAAGATAACAACATAATCATTCTCCCAGCAGACAAAGGTAATGCCACGGTAATGATGAACACATCAGACTACCAAGCCAATCTATCCAACCTACTCCAAGACCCCGCTTACAAACCTCTAAACACAGACCCCACCACCTACCTGGAAAAAACCACCAAATCCAAAATAAAAGCCTCTCCCATCAGTGAAGAGATCCAGCAAAGAATCATCCCCAGAGAGAAATCATCCAGATGCCCCAAGTTCTATGGCCTCCCCAAGATTCACAAAGAAGGAACACCACTCAGACCCATAGTCAGCTTCATAGGCTCACCTCTACAGAATCTTGCCAAATTCCTTGCCAAACAACTTCATCCCTGCACAGAATCCATCTCCTCACACATACAAAACTCACTCCACTTCATAGAAACAATAAAAAAACAAAACCTACAACCCAGCGACCTACTCATGAGCTTCGATGTCACATCCCTCTTCACCCAAGTGCCTATCAAAAAAGCCTTGACAGCTATCCAAAACAATACAACCCCCCCTAAGCACATCCTAGATCTGACCAACCACTGCCTAACCAACAGATACAAAGATACAAACAGATAGAAGGAGCACCTATGGGATCACCCCTCTCACTCGTCATCGCAAACCTATACATGGAACACTTTGAAACCAACGCCTTAGACAAATCCGAACACAAACCCAAACTCTGGCTTAGATATGTAGATGACACTTTTGTAATTTGGCCACACGGGAAAGAAAAACTGGACAACTTCCTCACACATCTCAACAGCCTACACCCCAAAATACAATTCACAATGGAAATAGAAGCTAACAACCAACTCCCCTTTCTGGATGTCCTCATCTACAAAAAACCCAATGGCTCCCTAGGACACACCATCTACCAGAATAAAACACACACCAACCGCTACTTAAACGCACAATCCCATCACCACCCTGCACAGATCACCTCCATTGCCAAGACCCTCATCTCCAGAACCAAACGCCTAGCCAACAAAGACCACCTGAAAACTGAATTACACACATTCACAAATGTATTAATCTCCAATGGATTCCAAAGAAATATGATTAACATCTAAATCTAAAGGGAAACACCCCCCCCAAGAACCAAGACTTAGAACAGTACAACAACATCGCCTTCCTCCCCTACATTAAAGGCACCACAGATAAAATCAGCAAAATTCTCCACAAACACAATATCAAGACAGCCTTCAGCACCGACCAAAAAAATAGCCAACATCTTAAGAAACCCCAAAGACATGATCCAGCTAGAAAACCAAGGAGTCTATGAAATACCATGCA